TGATAGGTATAGAGATAAATCATTTTTCTATGAAACGTCTCATAAATTAGAATATTTAAAAGTGTTTGATTTATGTAATTGAAGTTACGTGATAAAGTATTACCGATTTGTGGGTGTAAAACAATTAATAACATGTCGATCCTTTCTTAGTTTTAAAACATTTCTATTGACTGGATTATTCATTCAAATGACTTCACATTAAATGATAAATGAATATTTTAAGTAAGCTTTAATCTATCTGAATGAAATATTAAATAGTAACAATATTACTTAATAATATATCTTACTAGTTATTGATAATCCATATAAAACTTTGATGCATAGTATCATGTTAACCAGCTTATTATTTAAAACCAAGGTACTTTATATTCATCCAGGACCGTTTACCGTTACTTTCTCATTGCATAACTAATATCTGAAATTATTTGATAATAAAATATCTTCGTTGACGCATTAAAGGGAATTTTTTTCAAAACTACCTTACTAATGGAATAAACTTTTCACCCTATCTTCTAATTCGTTTCAAAGTATAATACTTACCATTAAACATGAGAATTTGACCTTTTTGATCTCATTTTGGATTATAGCTACATACTGTTGGATAGTTCTTAAACTATAACTAAATAATTGTACAGTGTTCCCTGACGAAACGTTTTCTAATTAATATTAATTCACGAAAAAAAATATTTGATTACGATAACCGAAAAAAGCTCTTCATAAAGTTGTCTAACTTGATAATTTATTCAGATCAATTTACTGATTGTATGGAATTTATTTTCCACCATCATAATATCATGACTTTCTATACAATTTCTTTTTATATATTTAATGCGTAATAAACAGTTATTAAGTAGACAGTGATAAAATGAGATTCATTTATATATTTTGTTTAAAATACCCTATTTTACTTATCATTTTGTTCATCTATTTATGTCTGTTATTTTATTTAGAAATGGACCCAACATTTTTTTAGCTGAAGTAACGTAATAAAACAGTATCAAACCAATGAAATCAAAGAAGTAGAATTTTATCTCAGTTCCCTCTAAATGACTAAAAATCATTTACGAGTATCCAATATGAATTAAATGTTTTACAAAGGTATCTAGCCATATACTTTCGAAAATGTTATAACTAAATAGGCTAATACAACGTCTGAACTATATATATATATATATATATATATATAACTCAGAGTTCCTTTTGTCACGGAGTCATTTACCTACATATACTATACCCTCAAACATTTTACCGCAATCACTGAAAATGTCTAAACAGTAACAAATTCACTTTATGTAGAGTGAATTTCTGTTTGAAAAACTAAACTCAGATACCTAAGTAATTGATCAATTTGAAGTTTGGTTATAAGTGGAAGACATAAACAGGCAGCTGTTATAAATACATTACAATCTTTTACATATCTGTCGTTTGTAGAACAACTAGTTACAATTCGTAATGGGAACAGTGACGTACTGACTTGATTAACAGCAGTTTCATTGTTAAATGTTCAACACTTAACAATCCTCGGAATGAGCTAGAATTTCATACATTTTCAAATAAATTTAGCATTGAGATTTATAGTATGAATTACTATAACCTTTTCAGTTTGAACATCTTTCATGAGTAGGGTTTTCATGAAAATCCACTGAAGTCTATGAATAACTTTACAGACGTTTTCTGGGTTTATTGAGTAAACAGGAGAAACCAAAGTATCTGAAATGCAATTACATAAGTTTCGTTTCTTCTGTGTAGATCACAATGGATATTTGTTAAGTGAATAATTTTGAAAGCTAACGTTCAGTACAGACAATTTAAATTACGCTGCTTTTGCTTCTACAGTGAAGTTATTAGATACTTAGACACATATAAGATTAAACACAAATAGTGGGTACTCTACACCAAAACAATAACGAAAACTGGAGAAAATAATTTGGAATTTGATACTATAGGACGCTCTCTATAAGGAACGTGAAAAAAATTTGGTATTTCTGCAAAAGAATTTTAGCTGAACGAGAAATTTACTATACTGCCTTATGAAGAAGCACTGATAAAGTAGTTACCAGGATATTGTTTCATAGATTTTACGGTGAAATCCCCTAGTTATTTACTAACAATTGAGTTATTCTTTCTCCTAGTATCAAGCGCTCACGTAATACTAATTTCAGGACAGAAGGAATAGGATTTATTTTCTTTTTTTAGTTTATCTAAACGTATTCGACCGTAAAAATTCCCAGTTTGTTTCTATAAGACAAATTAATTTGTTGATTTGAAATTGTCATTCAGATTTTGAATTGGAGTCGGCTAACGTGAACGTGTTTGTATCAAGTGGTTATTATCGTGTTGTTGTATATTTTTCATGTTACTTTTCTATGATAAATAAAGTGTTTAGACATTTCTTTCAGAAAAATCAGAAAACTGATTTCGCTTTTTTATGAGATTTGTGTTTTTTAGTTTTGGCCTATAAGGATTTATGAAAAAAAGTTATGTTGATCAACCAATAATCAAATCTGATGGTATATTTATTGTAAAGGATTTGAAACAGTGATAACCAAATAATTAACGACAATCAAACCAGGTATATAAAGTATCGTGTCGATCAATAGAATATCCACAAGAAGGGAAACAATAGTTATGAAAATAGACAAACAAACAGACATTGTCACAATTATTCACAATAATATTATACTAAACAAAATTTATAAGAATTATAAAGTGAGCAATGGGAAATCATTTTTATGATAAGTTTTATGAGTGTGGTAAACTATTAGAGGAAAGGATACGATGAGTTCAATCAAGACGGATGTTTGACTATATTTTTCAATATATGTACTTTAGATTGCTTGTACAACCAGGATTGTCAATGCAGTTTGACTAATTCAAAATTTAAATGCAAGTCACACTTCAATTTATTTATAAGTTCTGTTAGTTATCAACTCCGCCTGCAGCTCTTCTAGAGTTACTGCCGGCCCCAAACCCTTGTAAAGGAGGAGGGTTGGGCATGGTGTCGGCAACCCCATCCCGTAGAAAAAAACTCGCTAAAAAACCGACCAGCTCAAACAAATTAAACCATTTAAACTGTGTCCTGGGAGTTGAAGGAAGAATTATAACGCGTCATGGTGAAAGCCGAGATTGTTCGGAAGAAAAATCATAAGGGTTCCTATAGTATGGACTCATTATTTATGAGAATGAAGTTATTATTATTATTATGATAGGATATCGATATATTCGCCATTTTACAATAAAAGTTCCTTCTATTCGTCTGCCAACCCGCACGTTGAACTCACTTTCATATATTAAATATACTCATCATTTCAAAATTCATAGTGGTTGATTGACTGCATTTACACGAGGAACTAACATTTTAGAATAAATGTATATTTCAAAAAAGATTGTTTGTAAAAATAGTTTCGTTTGATGACGTACCTATTTTCAATGCTCTGTAGACTTTATTAATTCTCTTATTCTTTAATGTTTCTTAACTTCAGTTTGTCATGGGTCTAGTCAATAGTTATAGTCTGGAAATGATCTAACGGTGTTAATTGAGATGAAATTGAATATTTCATTTTTTCTGTTTAACTTGTTTAGTTATATTTATTTGATCGCACGAGATATAGCTTTGATGTCCAGTGGTTATTCTATATCACGATACTGATGAACCTTTAGTAGTCATGATCAGTATACATCTTCTTACAATTTTTCTGACGAAATGTCCAGCTGTCGTCAACTGGATGTATATGTTTTCATTTCATCTTTCATTATCTTTTAAGATCCAGATTCCTCTTAAAACTCATTTCCTATATGTACATTTTTTTCTGAGGCGAAATCATCTAACAAATTTACAGAAACTAACTGATAATGCCCAGCGTGTTTAAGTTCGCTTTTGAACCTTCTTATCAGTTGATCTTGTTGACTTTTTACTGGATTTTATTAAATAATTTTCCAGATATTTGAAGAAATATATTAGTCTCAAGCAAGTATTATTAAATCCTATTGGAAATCGAAATCGAAAATACTGCAGAAGTAGGTGAAAATATTATGAATATCATAGGATTAATCTTGAATAATTCCTTTTAATTATCTTTTAATCTGATGTTTTGATTGATATCATGAATCCACTGATGTTAGACCACCATTGAAAGCACGGAAGTACTGGACGGCCGTGCTTAATAGTGACTAGCTTGGTAAGGGAATTCTTGGAGTTCTAGTGAGTTGTGACCAGTGGAGCTAATCCATTTCAGGGGGAGATAGGTATCTATTTCAGTACAATGGAAGATGGTCGCTCAATTTTGTGAATCGGTCGAGGTTAAACGTTACCACCTTTAGATGCCGACTCAATGGTCTAAGGATTAAGCGTTTGCACACGAGACCCAAGGTCCTGAGTTCGAATCCCGTCCCATAATAGGATGAAACGGCCGTCCAGTGCTTCCACTTTTTCAATGGTGGTCTAACATCAATCGATTCATGATCTCGATCAAAAACTTAATAATCTCCACAACCCCATACTGATGATGTTTTGACTTGAAGTATTATTTTATACGAGGCATATTACCACACCATGCAGAACAATAAAAGTTGTTGTTTTGTGGATTATACATATACTTTCTCTCCTTTAACATAATTTACACTAGTGTGCTTGTAAAAAATGATTTATTATTGTGCTGGTTGCACATTTGGCATAATTTCAGTGGGGAAAATCAACCTCCAAAGTTTGGCTGTTTAATGATATAGGTATTTTTTTATCGACATACCACAATGTGCTTATATGTATATATGGGATTGATGCGTCATGCTCGGCATAGACACACACTAAGAACACGTGCGAATGTTCGTGTGTGTGTTTATTTGTGTCTTCTATTTCTCACATACTAGAGGTCAAAGCTTACTGATATGTACAGCATTGGACATCAAAACAGACTATGTAAATAACATTGCTGATTGGTTAATACTAGTGGTCAAATTGAAACGGGAAAGAAATAATTCATCTTTATCTGGCACATTACCTTTAAAGGTTAAATAGCATTACTTGAAATATGCTTCATCTTAAGTGTAATGTTATGATGTAACGTACCTTCTCCGTCATAATGTTCAAATGAGAATCTTCATGTAGAGACTGACTACTTTAATAAACTACTTTTCAGTGTATCAAATTCACCACTTAACAACTATGTTAAATTTACAATTATTGTATTTACTTATTTTTTTTACAAGTTATACATTATCGTCATCTTACAAAGAGAATAAAATTGTTCAGGATTTATTATTATATCCACCGGATTCAGCCAGACTATATACACACATTAATCGTGGAAGTTATTTTGGTTATTCTGTAGCAACATACATTGGACAGTCACAACCATCATGTTTAGTTGGCGCACCGAAAGCAAGTCATGGTAGTAGTAGTAACAGTATAAATGAATCAACTGGAGTTGTATATCGCCTTGATATGGATCTTACATTTCCATTTTGTTCAGTTGTACCAATTGCAACTACTGATGAATTAAGAAAAGAAGTTGGTACACCAACACCCGGAGGTAAGAATTACTAGCGTAAAAATGATTGTTCATATTCCATTGAACAATTTATAACAGTTCATTTTATTATAGCTTGTAATTATAGATAAATGGCACTAATAATGATTCAGCATTAGAAATATACATATTTTTTTTCCACACTAGCGAATAGTCACAGTTTTGAATATTGATTATCTCTATGATTAAATATCCATCGTTATTGTATGTTGCTGAGTGTTCACGATGATGAATCAAAGTAAAGATCCAAACACTAAGTATTTATTCCTCTTTTGTCAGCTCAATCACAATACCATGACAATAAGACTAGGCCAACGTGAACCCTATATTTTGCATACTTCTCAGTATCCTAGTTTACCGAATTTGTAGAAACTTATAAATGCCTATGTATAAGATATTGATAAAAATAAGACTGAAGAATGTCCAAACTGAACAATGACTTGGCCTTAGTTGTATAATTCGTTTATCATCTATATTGATTGGTATAATCAAGACCTTTAACTTGGACAATGTGTTTTTTGACCAAATTGTTTACTGTTACTGATACGTAATCCAAATGATTACGTAATACCCGATTCATCTTTTACATCCATATCTTCAACTGTTCTTGAACCAACGCGGTTAATATTTCCAAAGATGGCTAATTAATAATAATTGTCCATTTATGATCAACCGTACTTGGTTTCTGACTCACCCTTGGATTAACTAGTGTTAATATTGATTTATCTAATCTTTCGATTCTGATATGCATGAATAATGATAAAATCATTACTAATCCCAGTTCCGTGATTAATATATAAAGTTGATAAACTTTTCTATTGATTATGGTCAGGTTTGGTACAAAAAATTAAACTTTGCTTGGACTGATAAAAAAAATACCACATTTCTAAAAAAACATTAGTTTCAATACTTCGAACTAATACTTATAAATTTCCAAATACATCAACAGACAGTGTATTTATGTAGTTTACACTTAGACTGTCGGTATAGAGTTGTGGAGGTTGTTTGACCTGTAGTGGAATCACGAAGCGATCTAAATTAGACGATCACTGAAGACCTGGAACCACTGGATGTCCTGCTCGTCCTTATATAGAATTCTTTATCAAAGCGCAGAATATTTGGTCATGTGCACGAATGCCTAATTTCTAGACCACTGAACTGCGATCCGGTGGTGTAAGAGCTAACCCCGATCAATCCACGATATTGCACGACCATCTTCCATGGTGTTCTATGGGTAAATTCCTCACACCCGACACAGCTGAATTCTACTGATCACCGTTTCTTACAAGAACTCCAGAAATTTCCTCCAGAGTTTGTCACTGGAAAACAGATGATAATTGTCAGTGTAGAGTTATAGGGGCTGTTGAATTTTATTGAAATCACGAATCGATTTAAAGTAAAAGCCATTTTATTTAAAAAAAGAACCCACAGAGGTCTCTGACAATAAGTTCTATTCGTGCTAATAATTATTAATTTTGCTGTGTGAGATTTCAACTAATATTTCATAATACACAACAAAACATTTATGCAGACAACAGATGCAAATTAAAGTCTTGCTTACTGTCAGATATTTTGAAATGATATGTCCTAATCAGGGAAATATATCCACTTTCTTGATTTGTACCGGTTAAGAGATCTTGTATTAGTGACAGTTTACATATTTTAGTAGATAAAATTTGTAGGCCGCCAACTGGAGTCATACGTAGCTAGGTCCTTTTATTTTAGACAGTTCTATGGGATTGTCATTCGAATTTATCAAATAGATGAATTCTTTTCTCAGGTAATGTAGTTTATGTATATGTGTTTAGAAAAATTACCCATTCTACTGTTTATACCACTTGAGTAAGTTGGTCTTAATAAAAAATATTCTATTTCAAGTCTATGTGTGGATCCAGTTCGTGATGCAAAAAGTGATAGATGAGACATTAGCCATACGAAAATGACATCTACAAACTAAATCAATATACAGATTTCTAGTAAAATTCAACACTTTTAATGATAATCATTAATATTTTCCATTTTCAATGTGTTTCACTATTTTCTGCTGAATATGTGTGGTGTGACTTGGTTACCTGCAAATAATTATTGCATCCTCATTGACTTAGTCAAAAATAACTCAACATATCATTTCAAGACACGATAGATGAATGATCTCGGGTATGAGTTCATTCCACATCTGAAAAATGAAATTTATGTACAGCATAACAGGAAAGGCAATAAATTTTATGCAATTGGTTCCCTTTATGAATTTAAATAGAGCAAGAACAAACATTGATGCAGAATAGTATGAATTCATATTATTTCGAGGTTTCTCGTCAGCTGCTTACAAACCAAAATTGTGATAGAATTTTTTACATGGAGAGAGTGTGAAACAATTGACATGAGTGTAAATAACTGGATTACAATAATAACTATATATATATATATATATATATATATATATATATATATATATATATATATATATATATATATATATATAGCACTTATCAATCTATATATTAGAATCATGTCTTGTTAGAGAAAAGAAAGATAATTCAACTGTGACATAAATTATACCATGCATAGAATTATTCAGAAATGTTTTCTTTCAATAAATTTATCATAGAACTATTTTTCTTTAACATTTATCCTACATAAGGAAATCACTTCTATCAGTTCCAATAAAAACGTTGGGAAATAAATAAGATGTTAAAATTAGCAAGTAATCAATTGTGAAGTTAATTATTTTCCCAGATTTCATGTCATACGTTTTATAAAATTTACACTAGACCTTAATCGTACCAATATTGAGGACAATCAAATCTTATTTTATTTATACTGATAAGGAAATGTACACAGTTGAAAGTGGTATAGAAAAGTTTGTTTCTCATGATTTCAATACTGACGCCATATTCAGAAGATGAAGTTGTAATAATGTGGACAGAATTTGTTCTTGATCAACTTTTGACATTTAAACATAGTCTAACTTAATTTTTTTGGTTAAATTCCTGAACTACATTCATTCATTGTATATCAAAATTGTCTTGATGAAAGACATTTGAAAACTGTTTCATTAAATGTATTTAGTAGATACTATTATAATGGAATAAGTAGCTGACTAGTATTTGTACACTAGTTAACAAAGCTCGTGTTGTTATGTAAGACTGATCAAATACACTTTGTATCCAGTCGAAATTACAGTGTCTAACCCAAAAAAGATGTTATATTCTTTGAAAAAATAATACGTATATAGCAATGGAATAGATTATTGAACTAATTGATAATTGGATTGTTTAAAATCAAAATAAATTTTGGTTGACAATAAATGTTTTCTACTAAGAGCATACATGTTTAACATAATATTTCAATAATTCTTAGGTAATATGTTGTTTGTTTTTCCTTTACTAATTCAACTTAAATGTGTATGAAAAGTATTTATCCTTACAGGTGAAGGTGTTGTACCCGGTTTTTGTTATCTCATAACATTTTTCAAATTAAGATCCAAAGAAATAAAATAAATTAACATATTAACTCTACTGATTTTGTATTCATTCATTAAGTGTTACAACACTGTCCCGAAGTAGATGAAACCTGTATTCTGATTTTAAGGAAGTTATATAGTATAGAATGAGTATAGACTAGGGTGAAATTCACCTAGACGCGTTGTGATAATATATAGTTAAATAACTATAATTTTTTGAGAGCAGATTGCTTATTAATGGTTCAAATTATGTTTTGATCTCAGCATAAAGTTGTGTAATTTGTCAGATACAGTCACTCAAGTTTATCTCATATGTTCCCGTCAAATTATCTACAAGAGTGTTTTAACTTGATTAGTAACGTTCAAATGTATGCTAACAGTTAGCTAATCCTAAATTTGTCGGATACATTATCAGCATTAATAATAGTTTTGTCATATCCAACTTGAAAAACCGGTGTGAGTTCGTAGTAATCGGGATATATTTAGAAAATGAAATATACAACTGTGTACAAATTTACACCGGTCCAAGGATCTAAGATTTACAACGCACAAGGTGATAAAATTGACATAAATAAAGAAGTGTGAAATAAATAAAAAGGAGTATAAGTAAATCAAAAGATGAACAAAAAAACCAGTAAGTAACTGTTGCAAATTTAAATAAAGGTAAATAATGATTACATATACATCATTCTCATAGATTTTGCATCTTAGATTCTTAACGCCTTTTGGTTTTTTGTACAACTAATTATAAAAATGCAATTATCCTCTTTACTCACTTTAAGTCTCACTCTGAAAAGTAACGATAGACATGGAATATTGATTACATGTTTACATACAGTATTTAATATTTGCTTGGAGTGTTTCAATAAAGGTTACTGATTGATAGGTGTCTTATCCTATGGATAAGTATGTCACGTTAAATCAAGTCGTGGTTATCACTGCTATTGTTACTTTAGTCACTACTTGCTCGTGTGAATAACAATCACTCAGAGTTCGTAGATGATACATAATGACAACTAAGAGTATGAACACATTTAATATTAATTATTTAAGTTATCATAACATTTCGGAAATTTACGTGTAATTGATGCATTGTAACTACTTTCTATATATAATCTACCATAGTTCTTATTTTGTTTTATATACACTAACTAATTTGCATTGTTTTCAATTAATTTATCATTATATTATTCTTCAATAGTGGAAATCATGATTCAATTAAAGCAATTCAATTCAGCAAACCCGTTGTACGAGTTATTACTAATAACAGCTTAAATGCAAGTTTAATCGTAAGTAAAATTAACAACTAATTCATATTGACTAAGTTGATTTACTAAAGTATACCTCACATTTTGATTATATAACTCTCTGTGTTGTAGTTTCATAATTTAACGGACTGTGTGAAACTATGATATAATGCAAGATATACGTCAAAATATGTATTATGCATGATCACAAGGATCAATGATGTGGTTAAAGTGATCGACTCATTTTTATTGGCTAAATCACTACAATTTAAACGAAGACTAATATCAGAAGG